CAATCCTCTGCTCGGGCAGGAAACCATAGTCCAACGTTCTTCAAACTTGGTAAGTTTAAGACCTGTGGATTTCAACTCCCAGAATTCCTGAGCTAGCATGACTGGAGGAGGAATTCTGGGAGTTGAAGTCCACAAGCCTTAAAGCTGTCAAGTTTGAAGACCCCTGCCCTAGACCATTTCAGACAAATGGTGGTCCAATCTCTTCTTTAAAAGTTCCAGTGATGGATCACCCATAACTTCTGGAGGCAAGTGGTTCCATTGATTAATTGTTCTGTCAGGAAATTTATCCTTAGGACCCAGATTGTTGGAGGCAATAGGCTGACTCTCTAAACTGCTTAGAGCGGGCTGTAAAGCACTGAAGCGGTATATATTGCTAGGTTGCTTCTCTCCTTCATTAGTTTCAATCTGTTGCTTTTTGTCCTCTCTTGTTTTCATTCTTTGCAGGCCCTTCAGTTTTCAAGTGTGTGGATTGATGAATGTAAATTTTAAACAAATTGAATAATGAAAGAAAGTTCTTCCCAGTGTGTTGGATTGCTGGATTCTACTTATTTTCATCTTACCTTGGAAGCTGAACATACTTTCCCATAGAAGCTGATCATTCAAGGGAGAAATATGTCATTCTCCAAGATGGCAGAAGGTGGTTCTCCTTACCATTCTGCTCCAATGAATAAAAGTGGCATTGTAGATTCGGAAGAGCCTTTGGATTTGTTTGGACAAGCAGCAAGAACCAAGCAGAACATTCTGGAAGAAGCAGACATACATTGTGTTGTCCAGTGTTGCCCTTTCAGGGAGCTCTGTTGCCAGGAAGCTGAGGGATTGCAAGTCACATGCAGCCAACTCCATCGTCTTTACGATCAGTGGCAGAAACAAGAGGGCCCCATGAAAGCTCAGGTGGTAATCCTGCAGCTCTCCACCCCGCCTGCTGGGGTGAAGAGCTGTGTCGGGATGCATGGAGCAGAGACCAGGTCCCAGGAAGGGACCTTAGCCGAAGGTTTCCTCCTAAGCTGTGTGGAGCAGAAAATTCAGAGAAAGCAGCAGGTGAGATCATAAAAACAACATGAATCAATTTTTAAAATATAATCAGGTTGATTTTAATAACATGTATCCTTGATAGACAAATGATTCTGTCCCCCTTCATCCTGATTATTTCCAAGGTCATATAACAAGCAGGGGAACGGGTAGTAATGTTCTCTTCACTGCTATTTCAGGTTTATGGGCATTTCATGGAGGTGGTTCTAAACCATCAGGAGATGCATCGCATCTCCTTCAAGAAATTGTCTTGAGTCTGAGTCTTTTCCGGCGCCAATTTAATATCTCTGATCTAAACAAATTTTCAGAGCATCTTCCCAGTGTTACCATGCATAGCAGAGCAAACATCTTCTTGAGGACATCTCCCAACAACCTCTTCTGGTTGTTCAATGAAGACTGTGTATGTCCTACTGGATAAGACATTGATTAAAATATCATATAGGAACATCCAAATACTTGCTTGATAAACAACCTTGTAGGAAGTATTGGAATCCATTTCCTTTCCTCAACTTGTCCCAGGAGTGGATCAAGGGTTGTTTTCAGTGAGTAGAATATTTTCCATTAGAATATGCGAATATTTTCTGGAATTGTACAATTAACAAGGAGTGCTTTTGTGCTACAGATCCCTGTGTCCTTTGAAGATGTAACTATATTTTTCTCTGAGGAGGAGTGGGAGCTGCTGGATTTGGACCAAAAGTCCCTGTACAGAGAGGTCATGCTGGAAAATGCTAAGAATGTGGAATCCATGGGTAAGAGATTTGTGTTGCTCTAGGTTCAAATAAATGGATATATACATATATACATATACATACATACACACACATATATATATATGGTATTCAGCTTTGTTCAGGTATTTTCCCACGTCATTGTAGTTGTGCTTTTAAAGTTGTAGCAACGTTTCGGCAGAATCTCATCTGCCATCATCAGGCTTCTGTATTGTGTTTGTCGTTGAGATTACACGTTGTAATCTCAAAAACAAAAAACCAATCCAGGAGATTACAGCACAAGATCCAGGATATCTCCACAACAAAACTCACAAGGCCATCACACAGCCCATTATACCAACATCAACTTCATCAACCAATCAAGAGGCAGCAGCACAGCCAACCAGCCCAGCACACCAGCCCCCCCACCAGTATTTATAGAGAGACAGCAGCTCCGATCATACACTGCTTGCACTGGCCAAAAGCACCAGTCTGAGGATGGCGAGTGGGACCTCGCCGAAACGTCGCCAAGATACTCTTAATCTTACATGAGAAAAGACCCGAACACACCTAGACCTACATATATATATATGTTCTCTTAAGCTTTCGTGGGTACTTACATGTATGGTATTCAGCTTTATTCGGGTATTTTCCCACGTCATTATAGTTGTGCTTTTAAAGTTGTCTGCTGAAACGTTGCTACAACTTTAAAAGCACAACTATAATGACGTGGGAAAATACCTGAACAAAGCTGAATACCATATATATATATATTCTGATGAGAGGTAAGCAGTTTATTAATTTCGGGGCGGGGGGGAATGCTAAGAATGTGGATTTCATGGGGAAGGGTTCCATTTTGCTCTGGATTGAAATATGTGGAGAAGGTATATTTTTACCAGTTTCTCAAAGATTAAGGTCTGTACTTTTCCTAGCGAGAATGGAAATGACTATATGTGAGTCATGTCCAGAGTCATGTATGTGATATAGACATCTATGTAAATAAAAATAAGGAGCCGTGGTGATGCAATGGTTAGAATACAGTATTGCAGGCTACTTCTGCTGACTGCCAACAGTTCAGCAATTTGAATCTCACTGACTCAAGGTTGAGTCAGCCTTCCATCCTTCCAAGGTTGGTAAAATGAGGATCCAGATTGTTGGGGGCAATATGCTGACTCTGTAAACTATTTAGATAGGGCTGCAAAGCACTGTGAAGCAGTATTAAGTCTAAATGCTATTGTTATTGCTATTCCTAAATAAATACTTTTAATAGAAAATTAGGATTGATTACAAGAAGGCATTTGATCCTCTGCCACATATTTGGATAATCAAGTGCCCATAAATAATTAGAATCATCAGAAGCTTTGTGAAAAGATAAATAGTTCAATGGAAAACATAGTTGCTGGTCAATGGTGTTAGACCAGGTGGGTAATCTTTCAAGGAGGCTCACTATTACCACTACTTTTGTCAATGCATTTTTTCCTTTAACACCAATACTGAACAAAGCAGTCCATGAGAAAAAAATAACATCTGCCAGGTTACGATATAATTTTCCTTGGGCATCTTAATTCATTCAGTTTTCACCATTTTTCCTCTATGGCAGGGGTGTCAAACCCGTGGCATCATGGCATCACATGACGTATTGTGAGTTTTTTCCCTTTGCTAAACCAGGTATAGCGCGGCCAGCACGTGACACATGCAGGCTGTGAATTTGACAACCCTGCTCAATGGATAGTAAGGGTGGCACATTTGCTCAGTCCAAACTAGTGCGATATATGGCTGTACATTCAAACAGTACTGAGCAGCAGTTTCATTTCAAATGATGTTTTTGCACACAGTCATAGATTGTGCATATAGTTAAGAGCTTCCGGTGAGTCATCTCAAACATGCTAAATCCCAGCATATAACTACAGTTTACTTATAGCAACAGCACCTCCATTTTCTCTTCATTTAATTTCAACTTGTCTTTGTCCACATTTAAAATTGAATGTTAATCATATTCCACTCCAGAACTCTAGATGCTGCTTTCATCTTGACCTCAAATTATTTTCCCTGATGAGTAAAAATAATGGAGCTCTGTGGTACCTCATACCTTAGGTGCCCTCTAGCAGTCCAACATTCTGGAGATAACTTAACAAGAAGGATCAGAAATGAAGTCAACAAAGCCCCAGACATATTCCCACCACCATGTAGCTTAGAGGGAATAATCTTGGTAATGTTAAAATAAAAAATAATAAATAAATATGATGTGATGGCACTTCATTTTACGTCTTAAATGTCTCATGTTTAATTTTCTTCTCTTTTTTTCTTTCCAAACAGATGATAGGGGAGAGCCTGAAAATTATAAAGAATCGGGTGTGAATTCTCTGGAAAAGACTGAGACTACAAAAGGGATATTTCAAAATCGAAGGAAACCAAATGTGACTGAAGAACCCTGGCTGAATAATAGGAAGAGAAAATCGTCTGTTTTTCAGCATAGAGAAAATCTCGACTTCAATATCCAGCCGCACAAAGAAAAAGGTTGTTTAAAGGATGGGAAAACTTTCAGCAATAAATCAGTCATCTGTGAACGGGGCAGAACCCACTCTAAAGAGAAGAAGGTTGAATGCAAGGAACGTGGAAAAAAAGATTTGAATCTATGTCTTCCTTTACATCAAAACATTGAGATACCGAAATCACATAAATATTCAGACAGTGGGAAAAGCTTTAGTGACAGCAGTACTTTTAACGCCCATAAAACAAACCATAAAGTGGAGAAGTCTTATAAATGTGCAGAATTCAGAAAGAGTTTCTGTACAAGCAGTGATCTTACTTTGCACAAAAAATCCCATGCAGGAAAGAAATATAAAAGGATGGAATGTGGAAGGAGTTTTAGTACGAGTATAGATTTTACTTCTCATAAAAGGATCCACACAGGAGAGAAGCCATACAAATGCACAGACTGTGGAAAGAGCTTCACCACCAGTGGTTCCCTCACTGCCCATAAAAGGATCCACACGGGGGAGAAACCATATAAGTGCATGCATTGCGGGAAGAGTTTCAGCCAAAGTGCTTCCCTTACTTCCCACGAAAGGATGCATACTGGGATGAAACCATATCTGTGCATGGATTGTGGAAAAAAGTTCGGTCAAAGCAGTGATCTGATTTCTCATAAAAGGATCCACACAGGGGAGAAACCGTTTAAATGTCTGGAGTGTGGAAAAAGCTTTACAATGAGACGTGGTCTTACTTCCCATGAAAGGATCCACACGGGGGAGAAACCGTATCAATGCACAGATTGTGGAAAGTGCTTTATAAGTAGAAGTGATCTTACTTCCCATAAAAGGATCCACACAGGTGAGAAGCCGTATCAATGCATGGAGTGTGGCAAAAGCTTCAGCTGGAGTAATAACCTTACCAGTCATCAAAGGATCCATACAGGGGAGAAACCATATAAGTGCATGGAGTGTGGAAAGAGTTTCAATCAGAGCACTTCCCTGACTTCCCATGAAAGGATCCACACAGGGATGAAACCGTATCAGTGCATGGAGTGTGGAAAGAGCTTCAATACGAGCAGTGAACTCATTTCCCATAAAAGGATCCACACAGGAGAGAAGCCATATAAATGCACAGCGTGTGGAAAGAGCTTCCGCAAGAGTACTGATCTTATTTCTCATGAAAGGATCCACACAGGAGAGAAGCCATACAGATGTACAGAGTGTGGGAAATGCTTCAGCCAACACAGAAATCTGTCCTGCCATAAAAGGATCCACACAGGGGAGAAGCCATACAAATGCACAGATTGTGGAAAGAGCTTCACCACCAGTGGTTCCCTCACTGCCCATAAAAGGATCCACACGGGGGAGAAACCATATAAGTGCACGGAATGCGGGAAGAGTTTCAGCCAAAGTGCTTCCCTTAGTTCCCATGAAAGGATCCATACTGGGATGAAACCGTATTCGTGCCTGGATTGTGGAAAGAAATTCAGTAAAAGCAGCCACCTTAGTTCTCATAAGAAGATCCACTCTGGGGAGAAGCTGTATAAATGCTCAGACTGTGAAAAGAGCTTTCACACAAGCAGTTCCCTGATATCACATAAGAGGATCCACTCTGGTGAGAAACCATACCATTGCACTGACTGTGGAAAGTGTTTCAATACAAGCAGTTCCCTCAGTTCACATAGGAGGATCCACACAGGAGAGAAACCATATGAGTGCCAGGAGTGTGGAAAGAGTTTCAGTCACAACACTTCCCTCTCTTTTCATAAAAGGAGCCACACAAAGAAGAACCCACCTGCCTGCATATAATAAGCAAGGAACTTCTTTCAGAGTATGAACTTCTGATAAAAGAAGTTACATGGAGGAAAGGCTCAGTACATGCATGCAATAGGGAAAGAACTTTAAGTGATTCCATTTCTGATCAATATGCCAAAATTAAAAGGGAATGGATTATTTAATTCGAGAAAATTAGTTAGAGTGAAAGGTGGCGAAGAGAAGAAATTGAATGGATGGGCCAGATGAAAAAGATTTGGAAGAGCTTCAAGTTATTACAAGAGGAAGGCCAAGATCTTGTCTGTGTTGTAGGTACAATATAAATCAACTATATCTGCACTAAGATATTAGGGATATCTAGATTTTTATTAAATCACTTGACTATGTCCTTTGGGACATCATTTCACAGCCGTGGTGGTGCAGTGGTTAGGGTTGCAGGGTAATTTTACCAACTGCCAGCAGTTTGATCCTGACTAGCTCTGTTGGAATCTGATTCTGAGGGAGAGGAGGAACAGCTGACAGGGAGTGGGAGTAGCTCCGGAGGTTGTGGAGGAAACTGGGGAAGGGCACAGGCCAGCTGGGCATTCAGAGGAAAACCCAGGCCCATCCCCTCTTCATCCAAGGGCATGCAGGGAGGAGCGGATAAGGGAGAAACATGAATGGTGTGGTCTACGGGGGAGGAAAGGGCCTTGATCCCCTTCATGGGCTGTAGCTGTGAGGACTGTTTAAAAGGACCAACTGCGCAGGGGTGGGTGCTGGAAGCAAAGCGTGAAAATATTTCTAGTTTCTTAGTTCTTATCTGAACTCTGGTGTCCTTCCCAGTGTGTGTATTTCGATATCTGTGGACGTCTTCAAGCCCTTATCCTGCCTTGTCTCATTAATTGCTTCAGTGTGGTTTGTGTTGTTTGTTTTCTATTTATAATTTATATGTATTTTGAGTTTTGAACTGAAGTTTTTTCACAACTGTTTGTGGGGGAGTTTTTTCTCCAGTCAGTGATAATTGGACCTTTCAAGCCAAGTTGAAGGAATTAAAGGGACACCTGTTTTTGTGACTTTGTTACTTTTGTATCACCTGGGTCATCACAGGCTAAAGAATGACTCAGCCTTTCATTCTTCTGGTAAAATGAGGACCTTGATTGTTGGGGGTGATATGCTGATCCTAAACAGCTTAGAGAGAACTGTAAACCCCTGTGAAGCGGTATATAAGTCTAAGTGCTGTTGCTATTTCCTTATCTTCCTTAAACAGAAGAACAGTATGACCACTCTTGAGCAAAAAAGCTGTGGGAACAGAAGTGAACTCCAACTTCCTGCTGGCCTTCACATATAATTTCCTTGTGGGAATCTGGCAGGGAGCATTGGAAATTTTCCCTTTTCCTTTCTCTTCCCAACAGGCAAGTAAGTGCCTGCTTCTGAGTGGGGGAGGGTGCAAAGGATTGTGAGAGTAAGTGGGACACTCTCACCCGAAACTGTTCCAGCAATGTATCAGCAGTCAGCAGCAATGAGGCAATCATAATTTCCCCCAAATTTCATTCCCTTGGGAGTCATTGGTCCCAGAATGGACATATTCTGTAAGTTAGTCTATAAACTGTCCAGTGTAACCTTGAGGCAAAATAGGTGGCCTAAAATTTTTATAAATACATTTGAAGTGTATTGGTTCAAGTGGGTAGCCCTGTTACCCAGTTAAGGTCATGACTAGACTTAGTAGTAGTATATAGATTATCCAAAACCCTTTTTTTCCTTCTTTCTTATTTATGTGTGAGTTGAGTTGGGGATGCTGACTTAGTGTATTTGGGAGCAGGTATCTATATTGAATGACTGGGCTAGGGGTATAAATGACTATAGACATAACTGTGAATAAGTATTAGCCGGTCCTTAATCCTGATGCCAACTCTGGGGTTTGGAGGATTGTATTTATTCTTGCTTGCCTGCAAACATTTTAACTGTTTTTCTAAGGTCTATGGTGGGCCTTTTCTCCTTTCCTCAATTCACTCTTCCTCTGAGACATACACCTTTGGTTTTAAACCTGTATTTTTCCCCTCTCTATTTCCAGCAAAATTACTCCTTCCCCAATCTCTCATGTCTTTGTTGTTTCACTTGAAGATGGAAAGGGCATGTTTGGGTGTGTAAAATACAATGGTGCATGTAAATAGGAATTTTTTTCCTTATTTTAATGGAATTTTATTAAATTTTATCTACATTTTTTTGCTCTGGGCCTATTTCATTTGGAGTGTGGTTTTTGACAATGGTACATATGCATACATACAGATTTGCACACATAGAGATATGTAATACATGCTCCCATAAAATTTATGGACTAATTCCTTTTCTGAAAATATGGTAACAGTCCACAGTTGGATGTGGAAAATACTACTTTGATCAACTGCTTAATATTCAGAAACTCTGGAAGAAAATCCAATGGCTATTAATTTTTGAATAACCTTTGAGCTGGCCAAATCTATAGATATTCAAGATGATAAAAACTAAAATGATTGTGATGAACTTGAGAAGAACTACTTTAGAGTAACTGCCAACTCAGTGACCAGTGCATTCCCTTAAAGAATATTGCAAGTGATGGGTACAGGAGCATAAATTTAAATATTAGTGTCATGCAGATTGGTAGAACCAATGTTATAATTAGCTTTAAACATATGCATAGCAGAAATGTGTGCAAAAGGAAGAGATATGCAGATAACTTGCATGCCTTGTGTAAAAGGTTAACAATGCATATTAGAGTGAAATATATGTCTCACTATACAACTGAAGTTAATATTATTGGAATGTCCAGATACCTTTGTTTTTGTAACTTCATATAATTAGTGCACTCTTCTACTCACATTCTGTATACTTAATTGTGTACTGGCTGAAGGCTGTACAATTGAAGACTTTTTTTACACTTTGCATCTTGCCTGCAAGAATAGAAGCCTGTTGATTTGAGAATTGGGTGCTTAATCTGATTTCTAAGCACTGTCTTTTTGATCAGAAATAAACGTATTTCTGGTGCGCTTTAATAAGCACTGCATACCATAGCAAGCACAATCTCAGTCTTTTTTTTGGACAACAAAATCTCCTTATCTTACTTACTGCTCAGGGTCAAATCTTTTGCTAAACATTCATTTATTCTTAGGTGTGTTTTACTTCTATCAAATTTTGTGCATTCCCTGATCAGCATAAAGCTGGTTTCTCAAACTGTTCATTGTTGTCTCTCATTTTTCAATTACAGTGCAACATTCCTGAGGATGCTTACTGTTACACTTACTATTCTAAACCACTTGTAATTTGTGCACTCACTAATGCTACTTTTCCCTTTGTATAGAACAGTAATGGCATTGTTCAAGACAAACATGTGCAGATTATCACAAACTGGAGTCTCTTTCATATTGGAAAACATGCGTTGTTATAAACTTTACGACATAGGTCTCCATCCAATGTATACATGTCACAGCTGTGATGTTCTGGCCATTCTTCCAGGAATAGATCCTTTCTTATTCCTTTGCCCACAGTAATGGGAGAAATTTTTTTTTTTTAAAAAAAGTAGTTTGAATTTGCTACCCAGGGTAGCCCCATGACAAATGGCAAATTTAGCAAATAAATAATTTGCAACTACTAAAATTAAAATGGCAATTGTCTGTTTACCTCCAGCTGGTCAAAATCCTAAGAGCTGAAGGATGTACCGGTGATCTTTAGATGTAGGTGAGATACAAATAAACAATCTATAAAAGGAGAAATGTATCCATGCATGGAATGTGGAAAATGCTTCCACATCTTGCAATGTTATTCCACACAAAGGAGAAACTTTGGAAATAGTGCAATGAAACCTCAAAGGATTCTTAAATATGCATTCCAAGTACAGAAAGAATTTCAAAGCTTTACTCCCCACAAAAATTGGTACTGGTTGTGCCCTTTTACTGTAGCAAAAATTCAAAAAAAAATTCTTCAGTCAGTTTTCTTCCTTTATTTCATCTGATAATTCTTACTATCTCAGGAGACCCTTTAGTTTTCATTATTTGTATTTCATGTTTTTGAGAATTGTGTTTGTTTCCTAACTCTTCAAGAACCATGTTTCTCTTCCCATTTGTTTATATTAAAATAGCTTTATATTTCTCCTTTAATGCATAGCTGCCATCTCCTTTGTACACTTAGCTTTTTTTAAAAGTTTCCCTCAGACTTCTAAATTAGCTCTGCAATTTGAGGTAATTTTTTTTTCTGGAACTGAATGTCCTTCTACCAGTACTCCCATTCAGAATACAATAGTTTCAGTATTGACTCTCGCCCTTTTCAGGATCTCCATTTTGCTCTCCCAAAGCTTCTCCCCAGATGCCAAAGACACTTTTATTACCTCATTATCAAGAATAGAATAGATGAATAACAAGAGTTGGAAGGGATTTTGCAGGGCTTCTAATCTAGTACAACCCTATAACCATTTCAGGTAAATAGTTGTCCAATCTCTTAAAAACTTCCAGTATTGGAGCATTCACAACTTTTGCTGGCAAGTCGTTCTGCAGATAAATTGTTTTAACTGTTGGGAAATTTCTCCTTAGTTCTAGGTTGGTTTTCTCCCGGATTGATTTCCATCTACTATTTTTTGTTCTGCCTTCAGATGCTTTGGGGAATAGCTCGACTCCCTCTTGTTTGTGGCAGCCCCTGAGATATTGGAACACTGCTATCCTGTCACCCCTGGTCCTTTAGGGGCTGTTCCTCAAGAAAAGTGTTATTAACTTCGAACTGGAGAGTCCTCACTTGGAAAAGGACTTTGGAACAGAATCCCTCAACGCTACCATCATTTTACCACAAGAGAACAACGCTCCCCTTCACTTTCTCAAGAGACGCGGGAAATCTTAGCCCCGCCCCTTCCAACGTTTGTTTTCTAAACATTCCAAGAGGCCCAAAAGGGTCGGTTTTTTTTTCCGAGGGAAGCCGCCAGGACAGCGAAGGAGAGGGCCGGAAGGGCCATCCGATCCGCACTACGGCCTTTCTAGGGAGAAACACTCTCTCCCTTTAACCCTTGGAGTAGACTGGAGCGATCGGGGATGCCTGGAATCCATCTGCGAGTGGGGTGGAGTTTGGTTTCTTCTCCTGCGTCCTCAAATATATCTTTAATCTGCCAGTGAATAATGTATCCAGGGGCTGTGAAATTGAGTTTTGATCTGGACAGTCTGAAATGGAATAGGGTCTCCTATTTGACTGCCATTTGTCAGAAATGGTGTAAGCTCTCCCGCTTGGGGGGGGGAGGGGTGGACTAGATGACCTACAAGGTCCCTTCCAACTGATTATCTGTTATCCCGTCAGAGCAGGGGACTCGACTAGAAGACCT